AAAAAAATTTACAGTATGATTGTTTCACCCATAGTAATTACATTACTTTTTTTTTTTTTAGCATGTAACAATAGTTAACTATATTATATAAATAATTAAATCAATGTGGTTTGGATAAGCAGCAGAAAAAGGCTGAACTAACAGTATGAAAATATGACTTCATTTAAGTTTTATTTGATTGGTGATTCTATATATGCTGTTTTAATGCCCCAATTATAACTGAAACGCATCAGTGTGTCTGCAAGGGTCCACAAGGATATGTGTGACATAAATTTCATCATCCGATCAAGTCTGCGAGGGTCTGCATGGATCTCTCTGTGGACATCTGCGTTCAGCCCAAACTTTATGACCGTGCTGACTGTCCCCAGTGTCAGCACTTTGACTGCACATACACAAGGAAAACAAATAACGCTTAACATGAATGCTTGTTTTGTAGGAGAGACTGTATGTGGAGGGTCTTTGTCATCCACAACTTAATAATATTAATATCAATTTAATCACTGCCGCACTTTGAAAGTGCTTTGGTCATACATACTTTGAAGGAGCCAAGGCAAAGTAGGAAGTTCTAAATTCTCCAGAAATCCTGTGCTATGTCTGCCCACTGTGCTCGACACACCTCAGGATTTATTCACTGGTATGGTACCTCGGCCAAATCTGTAAGTAGCTGCTATATCCTGTAAAAAATTAATTGCCCTGTCTGCTTTTCTGTGTCTGATATGAGGTGCAACGCTACCATCTGCACAGACGGGCGTGGACCTGACGTTGTATGACTTACACACTCACAACAGAGGAAACTTTAACAGTTTGTAAATTTAATTTTAAGACTTCTTAGGTCTTTTCTGTGGAAACTAAATTGAACTTAGACTTTTCAAGCTTTGGAGATACTCTTTATCTTGGACATGACTTTTTTTTTCTCTACATCTACAAATCTCTGTTACACATTCACAAACTTAATTTTTTTTTCACACAGAGTTGTGTCACAGGTGTACAAAGCTGGTAAATTGTTTGGGAACATTTTTTTCAAAAGTGTTAAATCTTTTTTTCACTCATCTTTTTTCCGTGGGCGCAGATGGGGGGCTTTCTCTGGTTTTGTTCATTGCGTAGTGAGAGGTTGTGGTCGCGAGATTGGAGTGTTGATAGGAAAGAGGGCGCTAAATGGGAGGAGCTGTAAAAAGAGTCTTTTGGCAAGTGAGATATAGCAATAGCCAGACCTCCATCTGTGATTGATCAGTATGTTGGCTCACACAGCTTGTGTTTGTATGTGTGTGTTGGCGTATGGATGGGTGTGGGTGGCTGGGAGAGAGAGCGAGAGAGAGAGAGAGAGAGAGAGAGAGAGAGGAGAGTCTTTACCCACAGGGTTTAAGCTGGGCGTGTGCTGGGAGTTATAAAAAGACTGGCAATAAAGCACGGATACTATTGTGTCAGAAAGGACTGATACCAGTGTAGGCTTACATGATTAGATGATTAAGAGCGTGGGTATCAGAATGTGTTAAATAACCTTTGTGTCTTTGTTTTTTAAAGTCGCTGAACAATCAATCCATTATTCTCCTCACGTATAGGAAGCTCCAACAAGTCTAGACGTCTTTGTAAAAATACGCCGTGCATTTTCCTTTTCTGCTGCTGACCTCTTTGCTCACTTCCCACCAAATTCTTTGTCATGATCTTTATTATGGGAGGGAACCAGTGGATCCAACTACATGGAAAACTTAGTCACTATTAGATTTTGTACAGTCACTTGATGAATATTTAAACTGATTAAAAGTGATGGTGAAGTCACCTGAATGAATAAGTACTGTATTGTCTGAATTATTAAAGTTCTGACACAGGATGTCATGCTTAAAGTCATGAGGTCACAGCCAGAAGCAAACAGCTCTGTAAGAAAAGAAAGTGTTTTACATTAAAGCACTGGCGGGAGGGTTGCCAGCCAGCATTTTTACAGTTAACTCAAGGTAATTAAATTACAGTCATTTACTGTCATAAACTGTAGTTTCATACAGGAAAATAATATTTTTAATAATACAGTGATTTACCCAATGCACATTTGTCAGCAAAAAGCTGTAATTTCTACAGCAAATTACAGTTAATTGCAGAATTTTAAAAAAAACTGCAGATCAACTTAGATTTGTCATCTATGTTCTATAATTTTCATAATTTAATTGTGCTAATGTTTTATAAAAATATATTTAAAAATCATGTGTAATATCTTGGGAGCTTGAGAAAATAAAGACTAAAAACATATTTAAAATGTAGCATTTACATAAAGATTAGCTCAAACAGCTTGCACATTGCACCCATGTAAGAAATAAATAAACATATTAATATGTGACCTTTAAAGGTACTGATGGCTGGATTTTCCGTGGCTTTCCTTCAGACAGAGCCAGGTTAGCTAGTTCCCTCTGTTTCTAGTCTTTAAGCTAAGCTAACTAGCCTCTGACTGTAGCCTTATATTTAACATACAGATGTGAGACAAGTGGTGCTGATCACTGCCAGAATGCAAATAACAAAATGTGAAACTATTTCTTTAAGGTGAATAACTGCTAGTTTTACATTATCCCTCAAATGAAATAAGAATGAACTGAGAGACGGACAGACAGAGACCACCGGCACAGTCCTGCCACCCGGTTCCAGCCGTCACCTTGGACCTTCCCCATGAAACCGCCAAACTAACACGCTGCTTTATAAGCCTGTAAAGCTCGGCATCCCTGTCAAAGTCTGTTTTTTAAATCCTCCCAGTTTTGACCGTGTAAATCGACTGCGCTCATGAAATCAGTCTTTCCATTCATTCACTTCATACCATCAGTGTGATGCTTTGATGGAAGAAGAGGACAAGGAGGAGGTGTTAGCCTTTTTATGTATGTATTAATGTTTAACTACAGACCCCCATGCCTCCCGGCCTCCTTTTTCTTCTCTTCAGCCCTCTGAAACTGAACCAGAGTCAGACAGCGGTAATAAATCACGGATGGAGCCAGAACCCAATCAACACCACAGTCGAATGGCGTGAGAAAGCATGTGGGCCTCCAGCAGCCTTGATAACACCTTGTCAGGGTATCAAACCTGCTCCGTGCCACATATAGTGTGATGGTGGCACCTCGGATCTGACTGAGTCAGCTGGGAATGGCATGACCTCACTGGGCTGCTTCACTGAGCTCAGAGAGCATCAATCAACGGCTGTGACCTCGGCTTGAGTGAGTGATACCTGCCATGACCCAAGGCTTTGTACAGGTCGGCGGCTCCATCAATCCAAAGGAAGGTAAGGAATGTTGTTATCATGGCAGGTGTCAGATAGAGAAAATGGATGAGAATCAGATCTGAGCCATGATAGCAGTTGACTGTATGTACTATAGGTGGTACACAAGACTTGTTGTAGCCATGACAGCATGAAAAGACAGATGAGGGAGCTGACACATTTCTGCTTCGGACACATTCAGCTCCCCCGCTAGGTTTTAATGAAGTCACTGGGCGCTTGTCTACTCTAAACAGAGAGGTCAGCTGCTAATCACTCACTCCGGCCCAACTGAACTTGTGCCATGAGAGGACATCTGAGGTTTAGCTAACTTGCGCAGACAGTAAAGACCAACCTAAACAGCGATGGATAATGTCTGCCACATACTGTTTGAAACGCCCTCCCTGCCTCCAAGCCAGGGAGGTGATAAGTATCCACCGCCTGCCAAAGACATTAAAAATCCAAAAATAGTCACTTTTTGAGTAAATCCACCTACAGGTCTGTGTAGCAAACCGGCAAAACAACCCATTTCTGGACGCAATCGCAGCCAAAAGCACCGGTTGCCAAATTACGATGCAGCTCCTCGATATAAATCATCGTCTGAGCTATGTTAAGTTGAAATGTGCTGGCATGGTGCGTTCCAATCAGCGTGCGTTAGTAATAAGCATAGCAGCTTATTTGTAATGGAATAGAAAGGAAGGAATGTAAGAAACCTGATTTATCCTTACATCAGAGGTAAAGGCAGTCCAACTAAAATAGAAACACCTTGACTCAACAGACAGCAGAACTGGTGAGCATCTCCAGCACTCCCATAACAAAGGGGATTATAAAGCCCTCTCCCATGGTGTCTGCTAAAACAAACAGAGTAATCACTGTCACAGGAACCAGGCCAGATAATTACAGCATAAACATTTATTTCACCAGGGAAATGAAGGCAAACAAAGCAGTATTGCCATGGTTTCATAAAGCTGCATGAGTTTATTTTTGTGCTTTTATGAGGAATGAAATAATGTAATGGTAATTCACTTCAATAGAGAGTGAATAGTTCTTGCAGGACTTGTAATTTAACCAGAACTACATTGTGGAGGGTTTGGTCAAATAATGGTCTAATAATGGGCCATTAATACAATTCATTTAGATGAAAAGAATGTCTTCGAATCAATGTGAAAAACATATTTAAAAAATGTACATGGCTGTTAAGTGTACCACTGCATTTCTGACTTTACAGGACATTGCAAGCTAATGTAATACACATTTTAAAGTTAATTTTCATTATGAGTTTCAATTGCTTTTCCCATGGAAAACTGGCATAGTCCCTGTCATAAAGCAGCAATGGAAAAATATGTTGTTCATAAAAGAAAGTTATTGTTCCTTTCAAAGTGCCCTAAGCTCACAGTTGAAATGTCCATAATCAGCTTGCTTTCTGGAAGCCACATGCTCCGCAAGGGAAAACCTTTGCAGGGTAATGAAAACCAAAATAGGCTTTGCTCTTTGTTCTGCTGAATACTCAGCTGCACAAGCATCGGTCAGTGACAGACACTCATCTTCTTACACAAGAGAACACCAAAAATAGAGCTGATAGATTTCATATGGGGGGCTACTGTAGCTGCAGGCAGACCGTAGCCCTCGTTCCACTGATAAGGTGAGTTCCACACCCAGCACACTGGGAATGCACTCCATTTTCCCAGAATTACTGAGTCACGCAGAGGCTAAATGACTGACAAAGACTTGAGTGGAATAAAAAAGAAACAGGGACACTGTATGGGTCGATTCTTACCAAAACATGAGTGAGGACGATCTTGATGAGCGGCGCTCCAGAGAGATTCACCGACAAGGCTGGTAAAGGCTCCACTTTCAGAGAGATTAGGCAGCTCGCCACCTGGATCTTGTGGTCCTTGAAATCAGCTGCTTCATTAATTCTGAGAGAGCGAAAAAAGAACAACAAGAAAAAAGAAAAAACATTAGGTAAAATAGGCACTAGAAAATAGAGGCAGAGATACACATACAAAAGAAAGAGACAGAAAAACTAGGTCAAGCTAGAGAGTCAGATAAACTAGAAAAAACGCTTCACAGCTTCAGTTAATAGCCTGTTAAACTATCATATAATAGCATCAATTATCACTGTTATCTGGCACTCACACCGACACATAAGTGTTACACACAGGACCAGAGCAGTAGCATTTAGATGGGACTTTGGCCATCTGTCTATGTAATGAATCACACTGACAACCAGCCGTATTGCATCCGTAGTTCTTCAAGATCATCAGATATGTGACATTGGGATCACACAAGCATCATCTCTCCATCATGATACAAAGGGACCTTTTCACCCCCAGAGAAGCCTGGCAGTCAGTCACAAACATCTCCAAATGTTCTCTCACATATTTTACATTTGGCACTTTAATATCTGTGGAGTGTAAAGTGGTAAAAAACACTGGTTGCTTAATCGGTGTTATGTCACATTTGGTGAACGTAAATACTGCAACGCAACTAGAACAAGCTGTTTTCCAGTGATGAGACAATAACTGAGGGGAGGGGGTGGATGGATGGAGCTAATAGCAGGGTGTATCAGTCAGCGGAGTTTGAGTGGTGAGATGAGAGATAGGCGGGAGGGACTGATAAGACTTTGGCCCCGGGCTTCAGCTGTTCTGTGCTCAGGAAGCAGGGGCGCCTTAGTGCCAGTGGACCTGATCCCCCACACAGAAAGTACAAAGAGAGCCGCCTGCGTTTGTTTTCTTTTTATTTGAATAGCTACAACTGAAATTTAAAGAATTAAAATATGAATTTTTCACTTTGGGTGCTGCTCTGTCCTCTTACCTGGTCTTGACAGGGCTGATCTCTTTGTAGTAGTTGTGCATGTTGTGGTAGAAAAGGCCGACGATGGTGGTTTGAGCTGAGGAGCAGAAGACAACACACACAGGTCCAATGTGAAAAGCATATACAGAGCGCAGGGAATGTAAAGCAGCGCTGCTAAAATGCTCACAAAGAAGGGAAGTTAATTAACGCCGCCTTGCCACCGCACGCTGGCACCGGCGGACTAATAGGACAGCCGTATACTCGCACAAGGGTGAAAGGGAGAGTGCTGTGAACCACGTGGATGTTGGGAAAGCTTATGAAACGTCTACATGACTTCACCAGGGAGAGCAGGAGGTCTGGTCCCCCTCCCCTGGTCTGACCTATCACTCAGCTCGGTCCCACCTCAATACTGCAAGATAAACAATGAAATTGGAGGAACTTCTTAATGGTCCTGTTCCTCCTTTCAAAGGCCTTCCACCCGGGACCCGCTGACTAGAACAACAAAAGCTTGCAGATGTCAAACAAATGTGCGGTGTGTACGCAGCAGCAGAGTTTTTTTAACCTTCCAAAAAAACGGATTTCAACAGAATGCCCCCTAGCAGGTCTCACGGGAGATTATGAGGTGGTCAGTAAGGAAAAGAGAGAATAAGAAAAAGCATCCAAACACACCAATGTGTAGCATTCTTTGTACTTAATTAGGATATAAAACCTGTTCTTGGAGCATTTCATACAGCCAGAGCTACAAGTTAATGTGGTCCTGGCTCTAATGTGTCAAGCAATAACATATATTCCATTTCTGATAATGGCCCTTTAATGAATTATTAAAACGGTCTATTCTGGTGTTTGTACGGCAACATGGTACACGCAGCAGCCAGGTGGAGCCGAGGGAATCTGACCTCAACGCAAAGTCAAACAAACAGTGTTGTAATGCCCGTTGTAATTACTGCTCTCCCTCACTCCACTATGTGGGTCCATTCGTTTTAATGACGGAGGAAAGTGGAGAAAAAGTGCTCTCTCTCTCATTCTTTCTGTTTCGAATAAAAGGGTAACTGCCAACATTAAAGTCATAGCTGGAATTCTACGGTGCACCGTAAAGCCACACAAAAGCTCTCATGGCACTCCTGTCCTACACTGTATGCTATGTTAGTAGTCCTAAATCTTAGCATAATAAATCACCGGCTAATAACAAGAGCCTCCCAGCTGGACAATTTTCTCTTGGCAGAATCAGTGCACGACTAAGGTGCAGCGTTCACACTCAACCTTGGTGCTATTTTCTATACGGAGAAACCTCAATACAGGACTTTCGACATGTCACCGAACATGTGTAGGTTGTAATGTTTGCACTTACACTGCATGGTGAAGGCCTCTCCAGGCACAGAGATGTAGTTTTTGCCCTGTGTAGGGAAGCGGTAATGCAGCAGGTTGAAGTTCTCTGGGAATTTCATCAAGGAGTAATCTGTAGGGGTCAGAGGTTAGAAAAAGTGGGAACTGTTGAGGAAAAACAAACTGGGAATCAAGCAAAAAGACCAATCCGCTTTGTCAAGGGTGGATCAAAGATATCAAATGAGTCCGGGGAGAAAAGACACAAACAAGCCCCTGAGGCAAACAAAATATTATGCAATGAAAGACCTACACCAGTCAAAGGAAAAGGTGGAGAGGAGTTGACCTCCACTTATCTGACCCACACTTGTCCTCTGAATTAGAAAACACGTGCTGTTAGCTCGAGGCTCCGTGTCCACGAAAACGACAAACAGTGAGTTACATTATGGAGAGCTGACACCACACTGACCTGCAACAAAAGATGTTCCACCCAGGGAGATGAGGGAGTTGGGGCTGGGCTCCAGGTTAGTCACCATATGTTCCATCACTCTGTCCACTGTCTCGATCAGACCGCTGACCACAGGGGTGGACTGCTGCTCAATGACCCAACAGGAAAATGTTCACAACAAGATCACACAAGCTGTTCTTCAGCATCGAGCACTGATTCATGCCGACCTCGTCATCGTGTCCTTTTTAGAACATGCTCTTCCAGCTCCTCAGATTTGTTGCGCAAATGTAAAAGTTTAAGTTAGAGGGCCATTTCAATTCAGTTTTACTTGTCACGACTAACTTTGCAGTTTTTAAAAACAGGTGAAAATGTCACCAGGCTTAAGTTTTGAGTGTGAAAACACAGTAAGTCTGTGTCACTAACATGGCCTGTCATGTCTCGACATGAGTTGCAGTTTACTGCATGGAAGACCCACTATCTGTCCACCACCTTCTCACAGTCTGGGAACACATGCTTTGGGCCAAGTTCGCTGCTGATCTCAGCACAGGAGAATTGGAGAAACTCTGGATGAACCAAAACTAATAACTCCTGTTTTTATTCATAATAGGCTGGGAATCAGAAATTACAGTGCTGTAGCAACAATTCACATAAATTAATAAACCACACATTACAAAAGTATGCAACAAGCTTAGTGTATATGCACCAAATTGTTGTACTAAGTTGTGTGCTCTGTCAACAGTCTCAGTGTTACATTTCCAGTTGAGTTTGTTGTTTGACTGAGGAGCTCTACCTGATCTGAGCGCCGCAGGCATCATTTTTACAACATTTTACCGCAGTCATTTACACTCACATCGGGCAGCAACTCAAAAGCAAAACAAACATGCTTGCCAAATGATCATTTAAAGCTCGACAGTGTAACCTTTGCTGCACGGTGGCCACTGTGGCAAATGACAGTTATGGAATAATGCTTAATGCCAACTACTTTTTTCTTTCTACATTTAGCGATAAGACTAAGGCACGTAAGTGGCTTAAAACAACTAAAAGGACCACTGCTCATGCCGGTTTCATATAATTATAATATCATTTTTATACACTGTACACTGGAATGTGTCTTTACAGCATAAACAGCTCAGAATTTTAAAGTCAAAACAGAAATGAAATCTTTTAGCACAGTTGATGATAAAAACTTTGAAAGTGAATTGATTCTGTGTAGAAACCTATGTCTAAGCAATTTTAGTAAAATATAGAAACTGATTGAGAACAACAAATCAACAAACAAATCTCTGAATGTATTAAATTGCACAAATATACGTGTTAATAATACACATGTGATAATGTTGTAAATAATCCAATGAATCTATCTGGTTGAGACTCCAACATAAGAACAATTTACTGTATAGACAAGCTTCAAAAACTCTCTCTCCACCTCCCTGCACTTCTGTTTTAAGTGTGTTTCATGTGCCACAAACTTGACAAAACACACAATAAACTAAATTAATTATAAATTTTGACTGATGGCCTTAACTTTTTATTGTTATCACTATAATATTGTGATTGTAATTGTTTTTGACAGCCATAATCACAACCTGATATCATGACAGCCCTCATCAATAATTCAACTTTTCATTTGAAAGGAAACTAATTTCTCAGTGTTACAAAGTCTCGCTTCAACGTTACTTACAATTGTGTAAAATGTGAACAATGCTGCAATATACTGACAATAATAAATAGAATTTTTAAAACTACAATCAAACTCTTTCAGAATAAGTTCAAAAAGCTGAAAACAATAAACTATTGGCCACATAGTGTTACATTATAAACCTTACAAACACTTGATATCTTGATTGGTTTTAACACGCTGTACACAGAACACTGCGTCTACTGTCCAAGTGTGATGTGAACATCTGTTTCAGCTTGCTCCTACAAAAACAAGCATGCTTGTTCTGAGCAGCCAATATGCTGAAACCACACACTGGTGTTTGTATATGAGAGCGCAGAGATTTGGCCAGGATGACTGTACAGTGCAGGAGACAGCAAATTTACATTCAAGGCATTGTACTGTAGATCTGCTTTAAAATAATAATAATCATTTTATAGTCAGCAGTACTGTCTTATACAATTTGCAACGCCTTATTGGTCTGTAATCCTGTGCAGGTATGCTGCCAGTCACTGTTATTGCTGCTGGCACTGCTTGCGACAATAGCCTACAGCGTTAAAATCTCAAACTTATGCATCGCCTGAGTGTCTCGGATTAAAGTAATCATCAAATTGCATATGTTGCATTATGTCATGTTTGGACTTTGCACGACAACAGTGTGAACTCATTTACCTCCGGCAATCCTGGAGAGGACAGCACTTCTTCCACACTTTTGAGAAAAGCCTGGGTGGAAGAAAACGGACATCATGGAACTGTTGCATCATATGAACACGGCCGAGCTTTTGTGTGTGTGTGTGTGTGAGTGTGTGTGTGTGTGTGTTTAAACTGCGCTCCAAGACCTGCGTGAGGTTGTTGGCAGTGTTGTGAGGAATGGTCCTGTTGGGCAGCGCCTTCAGGAACCCGATGTCTGGCATTGACTCCGGTCCCTGCGAGCTCCGGACCTCCTCTTGGTGGCTGCTGACGACCGGAGGACTCACTTCAGTGGCCCTCTGGGGAGAAAGAACATCAGGCAGCGAATGAAGTTCACTATCAGGAGGAAGTTTCCGCAGGAGCAACGAGTTCCAACATACACAGGATGTTTAGTGACTGATAGCCTGAATTTAGGGAATACTCTTTGGACAAGTGATTCAATGTTGCTCTTTTTAAGCCCAGTGCCCTACAGGGAGCCATTTTGTGTGTGGTGGTGAGCAGCTGTCTCCGCTATCTTGTATGACTTTATTAGTTTTCTACCTCCAAAGCTCTTTAATAAACAGCCTATCCACATGTGTTCTCAATATCCCCTTTTCCATCTATTGTCAAAAGGAAATAATGCCTCAGTAAGAAATGAACTGTTAGTGTTGATTCAAGCAAAAGGCCTTCATCTCACTTCTGTTATGACGTTTATTTTGGCCCAAAACATTTCCGGCAACTTCTCAAACCGTCTCTTTGTGGATGCTGTACTTGTATAGAAAGCCTGGATAGTTCACGTACATGGTGTACAGTTTTATTTAGTTGTCAGATTTGCTCTCGATGACCCTGCAAAGATAGAATTGACACACTTACGACTGTCGGTGCCGTTGAAGTGGCTTGTTTGGAGACTCTGGGCGTTGTGACAGAAAGAATGGCTTGACCTAGAAAAGACAGTACAAAGGGCTCCATTAAAATGGGATTAGAACAACACCGTTGACCTGTGTGGCTGTAATTCACCCCTTATCCTTGGCAAAATTGTTCAGTTTAGATAGCCTTTCACTTTGTTATTTCGTTATCCGGGCCTTTGTTGAACCTGACCAGAAAAGGCTGCTGCACTGCAGCTGGATTTTATCACCATAAAACGTACAGTTGGACTGTAAGGCCTGGTCATGAAAAGAGATGGATTACGACCTACACAAAACTGGGACAATCAGCCACATAATACTCTGCCACAAGCTTCTGTTCGTAGCTTAGATATATTTTATGTCTTTGCTGTCAATTAATAAAAACAACACTAACTAGTGACCAGAAAATGGCCATTTATGGACATACATTAGAGGCATGTATCTGAACTATTCCTGCTCCTCTTTGGTTCAATGTAACATTTTATATGTGTGGCCTGGAGAAGTAAAAATATTTTTCTGTAACCATAACAGTCAAGGTCATCATGTCTGGTAATGGTCTGTGGAATATATTGCTTTTAGTAATAACTTCGTGGAAGAAATAAAAGCTGTGTGCACTTTATGCTTCAAACATTGTGACCAGCTGAAGCTCCATCACACTACAGTAATAGTCTTTAAAACTATTATTGTGAACACAAGGACCGAGGCACCCTCACTCATCAGTGTGATTTATACATAACAAACGGTGATTTAACCCTCTAGATCAAGAGGTGCCTCTCATCATGCTGTGAGTATTTGTCAGATTACCATTAAATCTGCTCATATTGATATTCACACAAAAGAATGTTAATGTTTCTAAATTCTCATAAATGTCAAAGTTTTGTCCATTTATGGGACGCTACTGACCAAAGGAGGTAAACAGAACAAAAACAGACATGAGTCTGGGGGTTGTGTCCTGGCCTGTTTTAACCTGTCACATTAAATCAAAATGATATGCCCCCTGCAACTAAACAAGCCTCTGCACTCTTATAAATACTTATAAGGCAGAACTATGTTGGCCATTGCACTTATATGGTGGAAGGTCAAGAAAATGTTTTGTGCAAGAAGAGCCATTTGACAGGGAGATGGGGCACATTTGTATAGTTTAATATCTTGTTATGCATGAACGCTGTGCATGGAATGTAGCGAGGATAAGGACGGAAATTGCTTTTTAACCCCTGTTTCCTCAGAGCAGAGTCAAAAGGGAGAAAGCTTTTCAATAGATATGCAACGTCGTAGAATGACAGGAAATACCTTCCAGTATAGTGTGATGTCCTACCTATGGCTGCATTGTAGTAGTGAGAGATCTGTATAGGTGAAAGGGCCCTTTCCCAGATGACAAATTCATCGAAGGCCCCTGTTACATAGTGACGATACGCCCTGTTGTTGCCCGTGCCGATGACGAGGTCGGGGTAGGGGTCTCCATAGTTGTCAGAGACGCTGCCATCTGTGTCACCAGCAGTGAAGGTCCCATTGATGTAAACCTTCAGACCGTCCTTCTTAGTCCATGTGAAGAGAATGTGTGTCCAGTATGGCCCTGATTGAGGAAATGAAAATGTCAACCATGAATATATATGACTTACATCGAACTGTAAATAGCATTACGTGGTACATATACACTCACTGGCTACTTTATTTTATTATTAGGTACAACTGTGAAATCTAATACAACAGTTCTGCCATAAGTTCCCTTTTTCAGAAGCTTCTTCATTTTCATTTTGTATTCACATTTTCAGAGTGGTAACAGCCACTCTAATATCTTGTACATGCCATATATGTTAATAAGGTGGACAAAATCTTACGATTACTATTAGAACATTACATCATGAGCAAATATGGAGTCAAAGTTCTGGCTGAGTATTGACACCTTGAAGCTGCAGCATTTCAGTGATTCAGACTTCCAGGGTTTAATGCGTCACAAAGAGAAGGAAACAATCCTGTCAGCTTACAGGACAGGACATTCTGTATCATTGTTCTTCAGATCTGGTTCCTGGTTCAGAGACGTAGAGCTGAATTACTGCAGTGTTACAGCTTGCCATTGTGTAGCGTAGTGAAGCTTTACAGTGTTTGAGAAGAGTCAAAGGTGAGCCAAGGCTACAGTGTTACAGTTAAGCCATTTAAAGGCACGGGTGGACTATTTTCGTGGAAAAGCTTGTAAATATGGCGTTTTATTGCAAAAAGAGGGGTTTTTAAGGGTTTGATTAACGAGTGAGGAAGGACATATAGACATATTGGGTCACAATTAGTTACGTTTATTTTAGCTTGTTAGTCTGCAACCTGTGAATTAGCACTCAGCACAAAATACAGAAGAGGCTGATGGGAATGTTTTAGTTTAACAAGTATTTGGTCCGAAACCAAAGCACTGGGCAATTTTACAGTTTTTTCTTTTTCTTTTCTTTTTTTTTGACCAGATGATGGCTCTGGCTGAGATGAAAAGCTAAGGAATCCCCCAAGTTTTTAAAATTAAACTAGGCTGACATTAGCTCGGTTAACAAAATGTTTTGTCGTTGAGATAAACATTAACGTTAATTTAGGTTTTATTTGACTTTTTTATTTTATGATATACACACATCCTGTGTGCCCACAAAAACTGCAGGCCTTAATCTTTCCAGTCTTTTTTTTTTTTTTTTTAACAATACAAAGAGCAAAGAAGCAAATGAACAATAAGGAAATCCCAAAAGACAATACATTCACTGTGTGAAAACACATCTGCTAAAAGAGCATAACAACCAAAACTCATTTCAGTTGAGACTACAATATGAACCATATGTGTCAAAGACTGCCCACTTTTCAACTCTCTCTTTCACTTCTTTATGTAGAGAGATTTCTCTATGTACAGTGCAACATTCTTAGCTCGCACTTACAATTATATTATTGGTCACAGGGCACCTCAAGGTTCACTCTATCACACTCTAAACTTTTCCTCACACCTGTGAGATGGATGAGAGAGAACTGAAAGGTTTTGACTTTGTGGCCTAAAGGTTCGACATGTGACACTGTATGAAAACCAGATGACGTCTGATCCTCTGTAACTGAAAGCTTACATCGAAATTGAGTTATGACGCTGGTGAACACAACCTTAAGTAACTGCAGCAAAAACAAAGATGACAGAAGTCATTTGAGAACTAAGAACTGACTGGTAAAAGCTTCACATAATGTCGAATCTCTCATGGTTTATTCCATTTTGTCAAAACAGTTTACCAAATCATTTCATCTCATTAAAAAGAAAATTGTATTCTCAGAAATGCTTTTAAAATATTGGTCACACTTTGACCTTTATTCGGTTTCATATTTCGTCTAAGCTGACCTTTACCAACTTCCAAACATTATTTTATTTAAGATGGGAGATGACAGCATGCCATTAAAAATGTATGTTTTGGGCTACACCAATAATGGATGAATTGCCAAATCTACTATCTGTGGCTACATCTGGTCTTAGTTAACCAAACCATAAATGCAATTACATAACTAACAATTTATGGTACTATGAAGACCAAAATACATTCCTGATTGGTGCCTGTGGGAAATGTAACTAAATAAACCCTGTTTAATACAAAGGAAAATTTAATTCACAGTACCTGGAACTTTGATGTCTGCCTTCCATCTGTGGTTGTTGCCTCGAGTGTAAAACTCCACATATCCTCCAAAGGGGTTAGTGAAGACTGAGAAGCCGTTGGAGATAACTTTTCCTCCAGAGGCTACAGCAAAACGGGACTGGGCCTCATGGTTTTTCCAAAAAAAGGAGAAGGTAATGCCTAGACAGTGATGAAAAATGCCTTGTAGCCATCTGTACAATATACAACTCAATACGAATTATGGTAGAATAATGCACAATGCACTAACCCTCAGGACCACACAAAGTAGGGTCACTAATGCAAGAGTTCTGGTAGTTTCCAAAGTGAAGAAAGGTGCCGCCGTTATCTCCATCCAAAAAGATGCCTTTGTTGACCATTCCTTCAACAATGTCTGCGACAAACCACAAACCACAAGCATCACTTTGATGGAAAAAGTCTGTTTAGCCGCTTTATAGTCAACTAATCATCAATAGTTTGGCAACTGAAGAGCATGAGAGTCCTCGAGCCCTCTTTGTATCCCAAAAGGCAATCAACAAGGTCTCGTTACACTTTTTGGTTGACTAAAGCTAACATGCAATACTATATCATTAAAAGGGCACATATTCCTTATCTTGTGGTGCAGGGACAAAGGAGTGAACGTGGAGAAGAGTATAAAGTGCTCAGCTCAACTGTGTGGAGGTACAGAAGATGACAACAGAGAGCAGTGGGTGATGCACGAATGAATCTCAGTGAGAAGAAAGTGATGGATCCTCACCTACTGTTGCAGAAATGTTAGTGTAGGCAGAGTCATTGGTATACACATAGGAAGAGTTATGGGAAGAGGGGAGCACAGTGTGGTTGTGGATTCTGAGAGCTGGACAAAGACAACAGAGAAAACACAGTGATTCACACCGATACGGGCACATGACAGGAGACACAGGAGAACAGTGGAAAGCAAGGCAACGGGAGGGACGTGATGCACAGGTATGAGACAGAGTGATGCTGAGCTGCGTGCACAGAGGCAGCAGTCAAAGAGAACCCGGAGTGACTCCACACATCATGCTCAAGTCTATACCCGATCCCTCGACAACTTCATCTCGTATTTGAAATCTTTCGCTAAATAACAACATTGCAACAAAGTGCATATGAAACAATTTCAATCATTTCTTTATGTTTTTTTTTTTTAACATACATTTACCACCTCCAAACTACAAGATACTGTATGTAAACTATTGTAAAATCATAAATGACCTTAAATACTATTTTGCTGTCTAATTTCAGCCATAAATCTGACACAAACTTTAAAAGTCTGAACACAGCAGCACATTATTAAAGCGTGGTGGCTTTGGCTGGAAGGTGTTTTGATGAAAAACAGCCTGAGACCAGAAAAGACATTTAGGGTGACACATTCCAATGAGCATATGCGGCCACTTTGCGTATGCACATACTTATGTTAGTCCCGTTAATATAACCTGGTCTGTTTCCAATCTGGTCCCACAGTTCATGGATTCCGTCCACGGCATCGAGAGGCCAATAATGTGAGGCAGTGGCCAACACCTGCAGGCCTGGACGGAGAGTTGACGGGTAAACAAGTGTGCAGAAAAGGGTTTTCCCCCCAATCAAGCTCAGTCTCATCAATCAACATGTATTTTCCTGGCACTCGGTTTTGGATTTTTGGTGGATTAAAAGACTGATAATAATCAAGCAAGCAGCTGTAAAAGTTGTTTATGCAGCTGACTACTCTGATTAATGAGGAAAGCAGTAAACAAATCAATAACATCCTCTGGACTGGCTGCTAGCAGATGGTAAAACAAGTTGTTACTATTTATTGTCTACTTCCAATCCAGTACATAGCTATATATTGTCTAATCTGGCAATTTAAAAACAGCACAGAAAACTGTTACATAATCCATCCAAAAGCTCCGTACTACCTGGATGCTTCACAGGTTTCACCACTTGAGCATAAACCTGTAAAGAAACCAAATGTTTGTTTGTTTTTATAAAGCTTGCCCAGAAACAGAAGATCAGACTATAACTGTCAAGAAGTGTTTAATATAAGCTTACCTTGATGCAGGAAATAAAAGCTGTAAAAAGGTGAATTCGCAAACAAAATTCCATAGTTTTTTGGAAATGAACCACATGCATTAGCTAGTAAAACAACTTAATTCCCCACATAAAGATGAATCCAGAAAGAGCCACACATTGTTCCAAGACGAAACTTCTGATCAGTCCATGTGTCCAAACTTAGGAATATGAATAAATAGTGATAAAAGTACAAAAAAAATAAAAATAAAATAAAGGATTGAATTTAAAGTTCTGACATGAGGCAGAAAAACTTCAGAAGTTGCCCTGTCATGATAAAATCTGAAGTCCAACTTCCACGCAGGAAATTTATAATCCGTGATCTTTATTCCAACTTTGAACTAGCAGTTGTTTCTTTGAGTTTCTGCGCCCGCATCTGGAAATTGCAAGGAGAAGAGAAGCTCCGTGGAGGCGAACTGAGTTGTTGGACTGAACGTGGGAATTGCAAAACGTGATGTCATTTTTGGATCCTCTGAGGAGGGGCGGTAAAGTTGTGCGTAAATGGCATTATTTGTGCGTAATTGGAGATTGCGCGGCGAATGAATGAGATCAGGATTTGCACTGTGCGACCCGAACACACACACATGTTAGTAGGTATGCAGAAGATGCGTACTTAAATGTTGTCTTATGATTAGATCGGATATTGAGTTGTCACAGGACAACACCCTGGACTCTCGGGGACGGTGCTGAAGATGGGTGGTTTTTGTAAAGTCTGCTCTGAAGTTAGTGCAGTGACACAGAAAGGCCTCAAACACTGGTTGCAACTTTTTACATGGCATTTCAAGAACATATAAAAAAAAATAAGAAAGATTAATTAAATAAGGATAAATAAGAACTTACCTCACACTTTAAGCTCGAGTACAAATCTTAAATAGAAGTTGTGATGCTTTAAATGAGATGTGAGTCACCGTTTGACTCTTCTTTTGTCCATTTCAGTTTGTGAGATGCTTAATGAGATGCTTTTAAAGATAGCCACAGGTTGGGGAGTCATCATGAACACCAACAGTCCCGTTAGACACTCTCACAAAGTCAACTTGCGCGCATATCAAGGTAAACAGCGCAGCCGTGTGGCCAGGTGAACACACTGTGCACCCAGTCGTGCAGAGGCTCATCTATTATTTATTAAACCCTCTCATATAACTCTCGAGTGGTGTGTTTGCTATGCAAGTGAAAAAATAAAAAAGTAAAATCCATCATCTGGTTAAAAAAAACATTACACGGAGCCACAACAAAAAAATGATGTATTGTCTCACAATTATAGGAGTTAATTTAATTTTGTTTATTTGTCATTTCATGGTGTCATCAAATTAAATTGAGGGTGGAATGGCTGCTCTCTCCTGAGGTTGAGGGAGAAAGTGTGTGTGTGTGTGTGTGTGTGTGTGTGTGAGGCAGGAGAAGAGGCGTATCCCTGGCAAAGATGTGGATCTGTTACCGAACCTACGCGCCATAGTGCAGTGAGAAATATCGACACACCGTTGGCCAAAAGCAGCAACTTTAGGGTTTTATTTTGTAGAGCTGTGACTTTATGTCTTACTTTTGATAGACTTATACTTTATACCTGTTGACGCGCTCTCTTCCTGTGACTGTCGTCTCATAAGCGTGTAAATGTGGGCCTGTATTTCAACAATCAGCTGATCTTTTTTTTTTTTCTTTTTTTTTTTTTGCGCCATCCGGACCTCAATGCTCGGCTCAATGTTCCTCTACACACGGAGACGTCCAGGATGATGTTTTACTAGAATTACCTGGACCGGGAGACGAGCTGATCGGTGGGATGAAGGATCGACTGGCAGAACTGACTGCTGTGAGTATCTTCCCCTGCGTAAGATCCTAACAGGTAAAACACTAAAGCTGCACACATACACAAAAAAAAGTCACCCAAACACATTCTTCATCCTCACAGAGCAACACACAGGCAGAGGAGGATGTTGCGGTCACAGTGGACAGAGACGGCTTCATGGAGAGCTTTTTCAGAAGGGTGGGTATTACAGGATATGCAATGCTATGGGGGACAGTTGAAGATACTGATGTGTTATTTATGGTTGATTAGGTGGAAGAAGTGAGAGGACTTATTGACAAGATCTCCTACCAAGTAGAAGAGGTGAGGAAGATCCACAGCATGATCCTGTCTGCGCCCAACCCAGATGACAGTAAGTTTGTCTCTTTATGAAACATTTATGTGGGATGGCGTCAGAGCATGACTCATGTGAATGTCAGGGTAGTTTTGCATTGTTTTTTTTTAAAGATTTGTTTGGATAGTGTGAGACTTTTTGGGCACAGACTGAACACAGGACAGATGTCTCTCTTCCTTTGTTGCTCCTGCTTGTAAATGAATGACTGTCTGGCCGGAAACCCGTGAAGGAAACAGAACACCATTTGGCTCCCAAACTATTGTGGTTTGAGCTCTGAGGTGCCCTCTCAGGAAAAAAGCTGTTTTCAGATGTGTGTGGATGTTAGTGTGTAATGTAAACTGTGACTAAAAATGGTTGCTGTGTATTTCCAATGATTTGGAATTCTATCATGGGAGCATATGTGGAAGTAGATCATTGAGACAGACCTGTGAATCAGTTCGGGGCCTTCTTCACTGTGAGACCTGCAGGACAAAGACTCCTGTGTTTACAGTGCCATGGCATCATCCGTGATCGTGTTTAATGCGACACATTACAATATTTTAAGATCCATGGTGTGTAAATGGTCGCCAGGGAAAGAAACAAAAGGCCCTCTGATCTCTGCAATATTGCCTCAGTGTTGTTGCCAAGTGACAAGATGAAATCAGAGTAAATCCAATATTGACAGGAGGCAGACACACAGCGGTTAACTACATGACATTTTATTTCCTCATAAACAAACCCAATGTGACGTCTTTCCTATTTGTGCGCGAAGGAACAAAGGATCAACTGGGTGCGCTGACCAACGATATCAAAGGCAACGCCAACGTGGTGCGAACCAAACTAAAATGTGAGTTGAACCGCGACGCGATTGTCACACTCTGATGTTTACTGACGACGCCTTGCACAGATCGATATTGTCTGAAGTTGTGTTATGTTGTCATCGTAACTCTCTGTCCCTCTGAAGCCATGGAGCAGAGCATGCCCAAAGATGATGTAGCTAACAGATCCTCTGTTGACTTCAGGATCCAGAAGACACAGGTCAGGAAATAAAATGGTAACCGATGATATTACATCCTGCCCATACAAGGCCATAAACACCCATCTGTTGACTGCACGCAAACATCACGAGGCACATAATTTTTTAGTTAAGTTTTTGTATAGACTGATAGATGTTACAGAAAAATGTAATTAGTTACCTGCCACATTCACTATTTTACAATGTGCGATTTTAAATGGGCATTCCTTTGAGTCTAAATTTCTTTAAAACGTATCTTTAATTTCAGTAAATAAACTGCTTCGTGGAGTCTTAAAAGATGCCTACAGCACATTCTCACTCTTTGTTTTCACTTGTGCACAGCACACTGTGCTGTCCAGGAAGTTTGTGGAGGTCATGACCCAGTACAACGAGACTCAAGTGTCCTTTCGGGAGAGAAGCAAAGGAAGGATCCAGAGACAACTGGAGATAAGTATGTGACAAATAATGGCCCCCCTGGACTGCATTTATCAAGTTTTTCAAAGCTTTGAAAAAAACCCAAACAGGACATTTTCAGTCTTTGTCACATCGGTGGCTTGGATTTGACGGCACGTTTAAGATTTGTGAGAACAAGACCTGTAAATCTGGAGATAAAAGAGCGGCAAATAAAAGCCCAAAGCCGTGTTAGGACAGAATCCAGGAAACAGACCACACCAGCTTCCTCTCTGCTTCTCTGGACAGCAGCCGAACCGTTGATAAACAGAGAGCAGCAGCAGGGCGGGATTTTTTTTTTTCACGTTTCTTCAAGATGTCACAACTAATCACATCCAAACACGAGATTTTTAGTGTTTCACAAGTTTTAAATAGAACTTAAATAAAGCCACAGTAATTAACAGAATAATCAATTAGTAGTCAACTTTTAAATCAAATAAATCCTGAACAACTAATCAATCAACAAAGAAACATCAACAAATTAATCAATATTGAAAATAATTTGTAGTTGCAGCCCTTACCTTAAATGAGTGGAGTTTGTAGAGTAAAGTTGAAGAAGTTTATAAAACAGAGCACCATCTGGTTATATAAAAAGACACAACTGGCAGGAGTTATGTTCTAACAAACTAGGAGGAAGAAAAATATGCTAAAAACAGGTCTGGCATTAACAGGGTGTATAAAATAGCAGCACTGGTGTGAAGAGTAACGCACACAGTCTACATTTTATCAACGTGAGATTTAGCATCCAAATACAATATGGTTATGATACAATCGTATTAGCTTATTCGTTTAAACTTATGTTAGATGTTATTTTTTTTGTGACTTTATATTTCTCACAGTTTTTCGGTTCTCTGTTTGTCAGTTACAGCGACGAGCAATCAGAGGCGCCGCGTTGTGTACGCGAGTAACACGAGACAATAGTGAAAAGCAAAAAATAGGACCGTCTCCTTCAGTCTTCGGTCCCTGCGGCCGGCATTAATGAGAGGCTTCAGTTCTCCACGCTGCAGACAGAAGAGGCTGATACTGGAGACGCTTCGCTGTGTTTGTGTTGCCGGGGAAACGGGCAGAGGGCTCGGCGGCCTGAGTAACAGCAGCTCACCTGTCTTTGACACAAACTCACCGACCTGCGCTGTAGCACACTTGTTATTTTACACTATCTAGAAGTGACTGTGCTCGGGTGTGTGTTGAAGCGCCGGGCTCGTGTTTTTGCTCTGCGTTTGTCTCTCTGAGGAGCAGACATCGTAAAAGGTGTGTGACATGCAGTGAGCACCTGCACAGAGAGCTGCCTCCCCTGGGACGGTGTTGTACAACGGGAGGCATGGCTTCAGGAAGAGAAAGCTTCAGTTTGTAGGGTTTCGGCAGCTGTTTCGCTGCGAGGGGTGCCGACTTCCTTTGTGCCTCAGACACTTGTTATCTTAGTCACAAATAAAATCCTCATGCATGAATGAACTGACAACCACAGCGGGAAGTGACTATAATTAAACACTGAACTATCTAAAGTAGCAGTGCTCTGATTAATGTATTTTTAACAACTGTTGCACCAAGAGTTTTTAGCCAGATGTCGGCTATTTTGAGAAACCCAGATCTGGGGATTGGTTCTTAAAAACATGTTAATTAATAGCCCTCAGTGTGCTTTATTTTCACACTGTCAAACACATTATCAGCTTTAATTTGCTGTTTCATTAAATACAATACGTCTCTCGCTACTAGGGGCCTTTTGTTTGTAACGATGTCCTCTGGGTGAACAACAGAGACATTATTTTTCTGTCAGCTCAATCAATACGGCTACAACGAGGCTTCTTTCTGTTAAAGAGCGGGCTTTATACAGAGCAGCTTCCCAATACCACCAAACAAATGGAGGCTACTGCAGCGCGGATTAAACCCATTACACTATACAGTAGCTGTTGTACCAAGGCCAAGCTCAGGCATTCATATTGTTAGTCATCACTCTGGGGGTTTTGTCTATTAAATGCCAGTTATGTTTTTATTGTTGTCATTTTTGCAAGAACACAAGTTCCTAACAGACATGGTGCATCGTATAATAAATCCTTTAGCCACAGGCAGCTGTTTGAGCAATAACGCAGCTTACTTACTAGGACATTAATATAACAGCATCACTGCTAATATTCTTATGCTTATCCTACTCTGACTATTAGTCTTTTGTCAAAAACGCTTGCAAATTTAAACCTTAGCTTATGTTTTGTTGTATATTTCCCCCTCTATTCACCCTTACCATCAAATGGCAAGTATAAAATGAGTCAACAACAAACACATTTTGTCTAAAAAAGCGCCAATTTTGTTGACCTTTTGAACAACACAAAGTCATTCTGTGTTTCCTTGTAAGAGTTGTTAGTGTGTTTATTGTTGATGGTGATTGTGGTTTGGCTGTGCAACAATGTGCCTCTCTGTGGTCATCGAAGGTGCCTTGACCAAAACCTGCAGAATTAAATAACCAAGTAAAGTTTGTTTTATTCTTCTAGCTGGAAGAGTGACCACCAACGAAGAACTAGAGGACATGTTAGAAAGTGGAAATCCTTCGATCTTCACATCTGATGTAAGTTTTCTCATGCGTTGCTGTGCAGCATCGTTGGTGCTGGGTTAAAGGGCATTGCTGTCATCTAGTGGTGGAGGAGCAAACCATTTGGGGTGGGGTTGCATGCTGGGTGATTCCATCATCAGGGGCCTTCTTCTCGACCATCTCTGATTTTCTTGAAACTTCTTTCTTCTTAAATTGTGGATGTTTAACATGGAATCAGGAAAATTCTAGCATGATACATCAAATGCTTCTAGATATTTAAAAAAAAAACAAAAACCCATTGATCCACATTCACCACATTTTTTCTCATCAAATTTGAGGCAAAATTTGAAAGAAACTATAAAAGATGAATGAAATAACATTAAATGCCTGTATTGAAAAAAAATAACATTATTACTAGTTACATTATGTGAACCACTCTGAAGTTCTAGAACTGTGTCTTACTTAGATTAGGCTATATAGGGATATTTTTTATTTTTGTGGTGCAGCTTTTCATGCCTGTTCAATTATGAAAGTTCCATAAAAATAACTTTTTTTCTTTTTGTGATCAAGTATTTCATATTGAGAAGTATTCTGTGTGTTTTGTTTTGCATTATTGTAACATGCAGCTACTTATGGTTCAGGAAATATGACTGGTTTAGTATCTTCATTTTTTTTGTTTACTTTCTGCTAATGTGTGCTTAAAGATGCAAATTTCCACTTTTTCAACTCACCCATATTCAGAGATTATTTGCTATCAACTTCTCCAACATGGCAGATTCTGAATCAATGAAGTGATTAGTCATAACAGTGAAAATTTCTGGCTTTTATGTTTAATAGTTCCTGAGATATTACCGTTCAAATATAGCCCCAGTTTTAGTTTAAAAATGTGGTGAAAGTGGGTTAATGGGCTTTTTAAAAAATGTATTTATTTTAAATACCATTTTAAACATCCGTAGCTTTGGAGAAAAATGTTTCAAACAAATCAGAAATGGTCGGGCAGAAATTTTTCTAAAAAAAATGATGATTTGAGACTTACTTTTGCTTTGTACTTTTTTACACACAAATTGAAAAACTTTATTTGCTGCTTTGGATTTTACATCATCTGTTTCTCTTCCTCAGATCATTTCTGATTCCCAGATCACACGTCAGGCCTTAAATGAGATCGAGTCCCGACACCAGGACATCATGCGTTTGGAGACGAGCATCAGAGAGCTGCACGCCATGTTCATGGACATGGCAATGCTGGTGGAAACTCAGGTAACAGCCTCATCTAAGTGGAGCTTTCATAAGGAAAAGCGACTCTTTATCAGTTACAAACTTGTTGAATTTATTTGTATCTAACAGTGTGTACTTTATTATTTAGGCCCGTAGTGCAATCCAAAACGGTTTCTAATTTTATTTATTCGGGTACCCATCTTTGTCTTTTACTACTTCTAGGTTTTCAGTTTTTTTTTTATTGTGTCTGAGGGCTGCAAGGTGGAGCGGTGGTTAGCACCGTTGCCAGCAAGAAGGTCGCCGGTTCG